ATCTCTAAATACCTACATAATGCTTTAAACATGACCCTATAGTTATTGCCCATGTTTCATTACATAGTCGCCTTTAATTTGCCAATGTGCCAATGCTGCGTTTGATTTCTTTTTCTAGATTTTCACTTAATCTATTTAATGAAATAATATTTCTTATTAGTAATAGAATAATATTATATGAAAACAACTTTGTCTCTCCTTCTCTCGGCACTAATTTTAAAATCTACTTTAGAAGATTTAATCTGGCAAGCAGTAACTACAGCTTTCTAGAAGGTTAGTACTGTTCTAAGCAGTAACTGCTTACATATGCATGGCATATTCCTCATGAGCTGATCACAAACAATCTCATAACACTTTATTTCCATGTAACTAAGGAGGAGGCATATCTACTTGTAGATTCTTTCTATATATGTGTGTGTATATATAATGTATGTATATATGATATATAGATCTATATATAATATAGGTATATAGATATATAGATCTATATATTATATATTAAATATTATATAGCAATATAGAATATATAGATACATATCACATATGATATATGATCTATATTATATATCATATATCATCTATATTATATATTATATGCCATCTATATTAGTATACAGTATATATCATTATATATTTATATATTATATATTGTTATATATTCATATATTAATATATATTAATCTGAGTATTTAAATTGGTGATTTATTATTGAATTAAATAATCTTATAACTGCAAAAGAAAGTATTCTCCCTTCACATATATTAGGATATAATCATATGAGAGAAGAAAATTATCATTTATCATTTATGCTACTGTGTACTGAGTATATGTGTTCATAGCCAAGTGCATGGTGGGATTACTTGATGAAGTAAAGAAAGATATGCTGCATTCAAAGTCATGAACAAAGAGTTTCATGGAATGTGTATCCTTTTCAGTAGCTCCTCAACACGGAAGCTGTGCTTTTTCTCTAAAGATAGGAAGAGGAATACTTAGCAGTTTCACAGACCCATTTCCTTTATAACACAATTCAGAGTTCTCAGGTGGGAAAAACAAAAACAAAAACAAACAAACAAACAAAAAAACTCAGAGAAATGCTGCTAGAAGTGAGCATGTACCACATGTTCTGCTCAGTATGTCACAACTGAAGAAAAGGTCTTTCTTAAGTAGTCAGAATTTAAGAACATAGCTATGGTACTATAGTTGACCAGGATTGAGAACTTAAAATAATAACGTTAAGTAATTGTAGACATAGATACTAAGAATACTCTGCAATTTGTATAATTACTCTCATACAACAAAGTGAAGATTAACATAGCACAAGCAACTGAAGAAGTCAGTGAACCAGGGAAGAATTAGATGGAGCTGGCACACTGTGTCTGAGCCACTCTGAGGTGGAGTTGGTAGTTTTAGTGCCTGGACTCTGTCTTTCCCTGTTTTTAGAAATACAAAGATACTATGCATAGACTAATATATTACATCTTCCAGGAATTTCTTTTCACCTCTATTCCAACCTCCCGCCTTTGTGGAGTGCATTGATATATATCGTAAAGTTCACCTTAGATGGATTATGTTAATGCAATCATTATCACATCATTCTAAATGAGACAGCATGAGCAGCAGCAGGCATACATTAAATTAAACTTTTTCACTAGTCTGTACATCAATATTAAAAAATGTAATGCCTGTATGTTTTTTTCATGTTCCTCTTAACCAGAAGAAGAAGAAGAAGAAAAAGAAAAAAAAAAAAAGCTTGGAGAGATTTATTGCCCATTTATCCTTGGAAAGAGTCCAAGGATAGTTTTTTCTCTCTTTCTTGAAGAAAGGAGCATAACTGTAATTTTCTTAATTATGTGAGGTGTCACAAGTAAAAAGGTAGCAGCACTAGCTCAGTTCCCTGTGGGAACACTGGCATCTGTGAGAGTTTGCACAATCCTTGAATTAGTAAGCTTCTCAACAGAGGAGAGCTAAGACTTGTTATTCTATTTTAGATCTGAGAGAATGTCTCTAATCTACCCATGGCATTCTGAAAATGCCTTACCAATTATCTAAGCATTGTTGTGTAATTTTAAGATGTGCTGAAAGAATGTTGGCAAGATAGATGTTAGACAAGTAGATTTGACAATGGAATTCAAATTAGAGAAAATCAAAATTTTTTGTTGTTGTTGTTCACTATACCACAATTTTTATAGATGTTCTTGAGAGGAGATACATAGTTGGCATTTGAAAATATACTGTGGAGATATATTGCAGGTATTCTTTAAAATAACTTTGTAATAATAAGAAAGAAAGACATATTTGATGTTCTTTTTTTTTCATAAGTGATTAATCTGTTACTATGTAGAATTTCAAACTGAAGGGTAAGGACATAGAAATTTGGATAAGTCTATATTCAGTATGAAAGAAGAAAAAGAAACAAGAAATATGATATGAAGAGTTAAGCACTCGTCTTTCTATTCGTTGTCAAACTGTAACAAATACAGAATTCTGCTTTAAACTTTAATACTCAGAAAACAATTAAATATATCTAGTATTTCTTTGATATATAGGTGTATATATACATATGTCTTGGTTTGCTATAGTTTTTTGTTGGGGGAGGTAGAAGAAAGTGAAGTCTGTTTACAGGTTTGGGAAGGTGAGATTCAAGAAGGGATGAATGAAAATTGTATAGAGTTAGGTGAAAACTGATGGGCCATGGACTCAGAGGGGGTGGAAAGAAAATGTACAGCAGATAAAATTATATTTTGCCACAAAAATAGAAATTATATCTATAATGAGTTGAGTAAATAGGAGTTTCTTTTTCTTTTTATATTTTTATTAATTTAGAGAGTACAAGTACAATTTTGTTACACGGATATATTGCATAGTATTGAAGACTGAGCTTTCAGTGCAGCCATCACTGGAATAGTGCGCATTATACCTATTAAGTAATTTTTTATTCTTTAGGCCCCTCCCTTATTTTTCTTATTTATCAAGAATTCTTGAAGTAAGTGATTAAAGTCTCTGTTCAGTGGCTCAGTAATGGAAGGACCAAAGTTCTTCTTACAGGGCAGCAAGAATGATTGCTGAATCCTGGACTCACGTTGATATTGATGGTAGGAGGAAGGAGACAGCCACATCTGTACCTCTGCTCTTTGATGCAAGGAATGTAATAGCTTTCCTAGAGATTTCTCTAGCAGACCTTAAATGATGTGATATTGATCTGATTGGTCATATGTATATACATCATTTTTTTGACGGAGGACTAAAAATCCTGGGTAATGGCAATATTAACATTGGCTTTGAACAATCATGAGACTGTCCTGGACTTGCCACAAAATTAAGGTTATGCTGGCAAAAATAAGAGAGGGTAGAATAATGTATATAAAAAGAACCGAATCTCTAATTAGATGGAGTAAGTTTGAGGAAATGTGGAAATAGGTAAACTGGAATAACTGGTGGGAATGTTTCCCTCCAAAATAGAAAGTAAGTGAAAATAGAGGAAATACTGATCAGTGATTTAAAAGATCTGGATACAGAAAATTCAAAAAAAAAAAAAAGAGGATCCCTTGCGTTTGGGAGAAACGTGTGGAAGTTAATTCTTAATATTAGCCTGAGATCATTCTGTTAGAGGCATTAGATTTTCTTTAGTAATTGCACATACATCAGAGTTGACAATTTTTTGTCACACTTCCAGCTCTACAACCTTGTCTCCAGCCATGTGAAAGATTGAATTCATTCTCCAAACATTTTAAACATTTTCCTGTGAACAATATGCTATCAATTTTCTGCTAATGTTATGATTATAGTGCAGGGTTTCTTAACCTCAGCACTACCAATATTTTGGTTGGATAATTATTTGTTTTGGGGGCCACCTGTACATTGCAGAAGGTTTCACACCATCCTTGGGCTATATAGCATTGTTGGCTATACTCACCACTGGATGGCAGTAGTAACTTCCACCCCCAAATGTGGACAACCAAAAATGTCTCCGGACATTGTGAAATGTCCTCTGGAGGGCAAAATGCTCTGTGTTGAGAACCACAGATTTGTTCTAGAATAGTAGCAAAGGGATCTTCTGGATGCTTGATGCAAATTGAGATTCTAGGGCTTCACTCTGATTCACTGCATCAGAATATAAATTTTAATAAGATCCCCAAGGAACTTAGATGCACATTCAAATTTGAGAAGCATTGATCTATAATTTGCAAATGGACCTTTAACTGTTCTTCTCTCATTCAATTTCCAACATCTCTAGTCCATTTGACAGACTGCTGTCAGATTAATCCACTGGTATCTTCTCAGTGCCTTTATAGTAAAATTGAAACTATTTCCTCCACTTGGTTTGTTTTTTGAGGATTTTCATGATCAAGATCCTGAATAAGTTTTTAATACAATTCCATAAATATCTCAATCAAAAACTCTACATTCCAATCCAACTCTGTTTCTATTTATTAGTGACTTGCATGTTACGGTATTTCCTATTGAAATGGTATTCACAATCAAAGGCAATCCAACAAAAGCTACTTCTTCCACAAAACCTTCCATTTGATTCTTATTTAACCTTTCATACTTCCACCTCACATATTTATTTTGTGCATGTGTGTAGTACAAGTTAAAACAGTATTGAAGCCATAGTCTAAGGCAACAGAGTTAAAATGTGATTTTGCTACTGGATGTGATCTTTGGCAAAGTAAATAGCTATCTTAAGTCTCAGTCGCCACATTTATAAATTGTATTTACTATAAGTACTTTCATCATGATTTGTTTTGACAATTAAATAGGGTAATGCATGTAAGGACTGCCGTATAGAAAACACAGAAAAAATCACAATTATTACCATTATTAATGATAATAATAAAAATAATAAAGTAATTCATATACTTAAACAAACTAAATAATGCAGAAGTAGAAGTAAAAAAAAAATAATAAGTAGAAGTAGAAGTAGTAGTAATACATTTCATATTGTCCCATCATTTCATTTAAAACCAGACAGGGTTATGAAATATTAATATTAACCACCACTTACGTATTACTTTCAAAGTGCCAAATTCATTTTTGCATCTTCATGTATTTCTTTCTACTGGTATTTCTGCAAACAAAGTAAGCAGTTAATAAATATTTGGTATTGAACAAATTCAGGACATGCCTTAATTTTACTACCACATCATTACAGCCTAAAAGTCAGAATTTATGTCTGATTGCTTTCTGTATCCCCACAGTGACAAGAAAACGGGCCGGAACACGGCAGAAGCTCAATAAGTATCTGCTGAATATAAGCATAATTGACTAATCAGTTAGTTGTGGAGAGATATTTAAGTTAATGGGTGCTCAAAACCCAAAGGGAAGTGCTATCCTGGAAAAATCAGTCTATTTATGTTTATTTTTCACTCTTTACTCCTCCCAGTGATGAGAAAGACATTTTTCCTACAACTAGGTAGTTTATGTTACAAACTTGACAAAATATTTTTCTTTAGCCATCTGCTTTCCCATTTACCACAAATGGAAACTTAATATTTCAGCATAAACAGTCATCTTAAAGAGAACTATTTGCATCCCCAAATGTTTTTCTCCTGTTATAGATCCCAAGTAAATCACCTTCCTCTCAAAGATGCACACATTATAGATAATATGTCATAATTATTTTCTTCACCAAGAATCACTTGCTATTTGCCAATTGATAGGATACTACTTAACTTTTCCCAGTTGGAAATAGCAGTCAGCACTTGCTCTAGGATTACGTGAGAATGCATAATGACTTTCTATTAAAGACAGATAATTTTGAGGTCTGCTTCAAAGTGCATCATTATTTTCATTTTTTAAAAGCTAACTACCTTGTTTTCAAGAATCGTTGATGGAACCTACCTTTTAGATATAACAAATGCCCACAATTATTCTACTTATCTCAGAAAATAAGCTATTTTCTTTGGTTGTGTTTAGTACCTGAATTCAGTCATTATATTATTTCCAGGCATTAAGTAAATTATATTCACAGAGCTAAAGAGTTTCAGCCTCATCAGAACAGGCAGATGGTTTCTAAAGGGAAACACACGCAAGTTCTTGGTTTCATCTCTAAAGCAATAACTCTTTTCTCTTCAGGAAGTAATAACAGGGACCAATTGTTTAATAAAAAGATGAAACAGAAGAATTGTCTTCCTCTTTTCCCCATGTCAACTGCTAACCAAATTCTGCCAATCATAATAATTTTTGTTTGTAACTTTTCCTTAAACCCTGCATATATCTGCTTATTTTTGCTGCTTAGTTTCTCTGCCTTGAAATACTGTCTTCCTTTAGCGTTCAGGACAGCATCTGCCCCTGGATTCTTCTGACATTACTGGCTATTATTGCTGTTTCTCTTTATGTTGTTCCCCCTGAGCGCCTTACCATTGTATCACCTTGGATCTTTGTCCTTCGATGATGTATCTTTTCTGTCAACAGACAAATATACACAAAGATGATTTCAGTTTGTGTCTCGAGGTCAATTTCTATCCTGATCTCCAAGTACTTAAATACAATTGCCTGCTCTACATTCTTACCTAAGTTTATAACAGATGTCTCAAAATGACCATGGTGAAACTGAGCTTCTGACTTTTCTAACTAAACCCTCTAATTTCACAGTCTTTTCAATCCAAGTTGATGGCAAGTCAATACTTCCATGTGCTAAAACCAAACTTTTAGGAATCATTTTTGACGCTTTTCTTTCTTTCGTATCCCGAATCTAATCCATTAATCTCATGCCTCTGCCTTCAAAATATATCTTTCTACATGTACTCTGGCATGCTTTCACTAGTGTCACAGCTAGCACCCTGGTCCAAGTCTTCATCATTCTTGGTATGACTAGTATTATAATAGCTTCCTTATTGTTCTTATTTTCTTGCCTTCTTTCACTTCCATCAATTCCCAATAGGGCAGCTAGGATAATACATAATGATCTCTAGTTACATCCATACTGTTGCAAATGTCTGAATCTCATTCTTTTTTATGATTAAGTAGTATTCCATTGTTTATATGTACCACATTTCCTTCATCCATTCATCTGTTAATGGACACCTAAGTTGCTTCCACATCTTAGCTATTGTAAACAGTACTGCAACATATGAGTGCAGACATCTCTTCAATATACTGATTTTCTTTCTTTAGGGTATATGCCCTGCAATGGGATTGCTGGCACATATGGTAGCTCAAATTTTAGTTTTTGAGGAACCTCCAAACTGTTTTCTATGTGGTATTACTAATGTACATTCCCACCAGCAGTGTACAAGTGTTCCCCTTTCTCCACAACCTCACCAGCATTTGTTATTGCCTATCTTTTGGCTATAAGCTACTTTAACTGGGGTGAGATGATATCTCATTGTAGTTTTGATTTGCATTTCTCTGATGGTCAGTGATGTTGAGCACCCTTTCATATGCCTGTTTGCCATTGTTTGTCTTCTTTTGAGAAATGTCTATTTAAATCTTTTGTCTACCTTCTGATCAAATTATTATTTTGTATAGAGTTGTTTGAGCTCCTTATATATTTTGGTTATTAATCCCTTGTCAGATGGGTAGTTTGCAAATATTTTCTCTTATTCTGTCAGTTGTATCTTCACTTTGTTGATTGTATCCTTTTCTGTGAAGAAACTTTTTAATTTGATGTGATCCCATTTGTCCATGTTGGTTTTGGTTGCCTGTGCTTGAGATGTATTGCATAAGAGGTCTTTACCCAGACCAATGTCCTGGAGATTTTTTCCCAGATGTTTTTTTTTTTAGTAGTTTCATAATTTGATGTCTTAGATTTAAGTATTTAATCCATTTTGATTTGATTTTGTATATGGCAAGGGATAGAGGTCTAGTTTCATTTTTTTTGTGTATGAATATCCAGGTTTCCCAGCACCATTTATTGAAGAGGCTGTGTTTTTTCCAGTGTATATTCTTGTCACCTTTGTAAAAAATGAATTCATTGTAGGTGTATGGATTTGTTTCTAGTTTCTCTATTCTGTTCTAGTGGTCTAAGTGTCTGTTTTTATGCCAGTACCATGCTGTTTTGGTTACTATAGCTCTGTAGTATAATTTGACATTAGGTAATGTGATTCTTCCAGTTTTGTTCTTTTTGCTTAAGATAACTTTGGTTAATCTGGGTCTTTTGTGGTTCCATATACATTTTAGGGTTGTTTTTTCTATTTTTGTGAAGAATGGCATTGGTATTTTGATAGAGGTTGCATTGAATCCTTAGAATGCTTTGGCTAGTATGGACGTTTTAACTATATTGATCCTTCCAATCCATGAAAATGAAATGTTTTTCCACTTTTTGGTGTCCTTTTTCAATTTCTTTTATCAGTGTATTATGGTTTTTATTACAGAGATTTTCCACTTCTTTGGTTAATACCTAGGTACTTAATTTTATGTGTGGCTATAGGATTTTAAAAATTTCTTTTTCACATTGTTCACTGTTGGCATATAGAAATTCTACTGATTTTTGTATGTTGATTTTGTATCCTGCAACTTAACTGAATTGGTTTATAATTTCTAATAGTTTTCTTGTGGATTCTTTAGGTTTTTCTGAAGACACGATCATATTATAAGCAAATGAGAATAATTTGACTTCTTTATTTCCAATTTGGATGCCTTTTATACTTTCTTTTATCTGATTGCTCTGACTAGGACTTCCAGTACAATGTTGAATAACAGTGGTGACAGTGGGCATCCCTATTGTGCTCCTGATCTTAGAGGAAAGACTTTCAGTTTTTCTCCATTCAGTATGATACCAGTTGTGTGTGTGTCATATATAGATTATGTTATGTTGAGGTATGTTCTCTCTATTGCCAGTTTTTTATAATCTTTTGGTTATAAAGGGAAGTTGAATTTTATCAAATGCCTTTCAGCATCAATTGAAATGATCATGTGATTTTTATCCTTCACACTGTTGATATTATGTATGGCATTGATTAATTTGTGTATGTTGAACCATTTTTGAATCCCCAGGATAAATCTGACTTGGTCATAATGAGTGATCTTTCTACTGTATTGTTGATTTCAGTCCGCTAGTGTGTTGTTGAGGATTTTTGCATCAAAATTAATTGGAGATATCAGGCTATAGTTTATTTTATTTTATTTTTCTCTTTCAAATGGGTCTTTGTCTGGTTTTGTTATCAAGGCAATACTGACCTCAAAGAATGAGTTTGGAAATATTTCCTCAAACTCCATTTTTCATAATAGTTTGAATAGAATTGGTATTAACTCTTCTTTAAATGTTTGATAAAATTCAGCAGAGAAGAGATCAGGTCCTGAGTTTTTCTTACCATGAAATGTTTTATTATACTTTGTTCTTGTCACTTGTTACTGGTCTGTTTGGTTTTGGATTTCTTCCTGATTCAATTTTGGTAGGTTGTACATATCTATGAATTTGTCAATTTCTTTTAGATTTTCCAATTTGTTGGCAAGTAGTTCCTTATTGTAGCCATGAACAATCTTTTGAAATTCTGCAGTATCTGTTGTAAAGTCTCCTTTTCCTTTTCTGTTTTTATTTAATTGGATCTTGTTTCTTTTTTCCTTAGTCTTCCTAAAGGTTTGTCAATTTTGTTTGACTTTTTGTAAAACCAAGTTTCATTGATCTTTTCTATTTTTTTTTTATTTCCACTCTGATTTTTATTATTTATTTTCTTCTACTAATTTTGGGTTTGGTTTGCTCTTGCTTTTCCAGTTTTTGAAGATTCATTGTTAGGTTGTTTATTTGACATTTGTCTTCTTTTTTGATGTAGACACTTATAACTATAAACTTCTTTCTGAGTACTGCTTTTGCTATATTCCATAGGTTTTGATATGTTGTGTTTCTATTATCATTTGTTTCAGTAAATTTTCCAGTTTTCTTCTTAATTTATTCATTTACCTGCTGGCCACTCAGGAGCACATTGTTGAATTTCCATGTATTTGTATAGTTTCCAAAATTATTTTTGTTATTAATTTCTAGCTTTATTTCATTGTGGTCAGAGAAAATGCTTGATAACATTTCAGTTTTATTTTTATTTTTTTGGAACGTTTTAAGACTTGTTCTATGACCTAACATATGGTCTATTCTTGAGAATGATCCATGTGCTGAGGAAATCAATGTGCATTTTACAGCTCTTGGATGAAATGTTCTGTAAATATCTTTTAGCTCGTTTTGGTTTATAGTGCTGTTTAAATTCAATGGTTTTGGTTGTTGATTTTCTGTCCGGATAACCTGTCAAATGCTGACAGTGGAGAGTCTTGAAGTCTCCAGCTAGTCTTGTATCAGGATCTATCTCTTTCTTTAGCTCTAATCATATTTCTTTATGTATCTGAATGCTCCAGTGTTGGGTGTGTGTGTGTGTGTGTGAGTCTTGTATCAGGATCTATCTCTTTCTTTAGCTCTAATCATATTTCTTTATGTATCTGAATGCTCCAGTGTTGGCTGTGTGTGTGTGTGTTTGTGTGTGTGTGTGTGTGTGTGTGTGTATAATTGTTATATCTTCCTGCTAAATTTACCCTTTTATCATTATGTAGTATCTTATTTGTCTCTTCTTATAGCTTTGTCTTGAAATTTATTTTGTCTGATATAAGTATAGCAACTCCTGCTTTATTTTGCTTTCCATTGACATGGAATATCTTTTTCCATCCCTTTAAATTTAGTCCATTTATGTCTTTATAGCTGAAGTGTGTTTCTTGTCAGCAACAGATTAATGGGTCTTTTTTTTTTTAAACCATCCAGTCTATGTCTTTTGATTCAAGAGTTTAGTCCATTTACATTTCATTTTGTAATTGATAAGTAAGGACTTACTCCTGCTATTTTGTTATTTGTTTTCTGGTTCCTTTGTGGTCTTCTCTTTCTTCTTTCTTTTCTTCCTGTATTCCTCTAGTCAAGATGATTTTCTCTAGTTATATGATTTAGTTTGTTGCTTTTTGTTTTATGTGTAGCCTTTGTGTGTTTTTTTGGTTAAAAGTTACCATTACACTTACAAATATTATTATATAACTCATGATTTTAACCTGACATCAACTTGACACTGTTTGCATAACACAGACATGCAAAAAGAAAACAAGTGCTCTATGCTTTAACTTTGTTCCCCTGCTTTTTAACTTTTTGTTGTTTCTATTTATGTCTTATTGTATTGATTTTGTTTTGAAAAATTATTGTAATTATTATTTTTTATTGGTTTATCATTTAGTATTCTATTTAGGATAACAGTAGTTTACATACCATAGTTACAGTGTTATAACATTCTGTGTTTTTCTGCATACTTGATGTTACCATTGAATTTTGTACCTTCAGGTGATTGTTTATTGCTCATTAATGTTATTTTAATTCTGATTGAAGTACTCCCTTTAGCATTTCTGGTAGAACATGTATGCTGGTGATGAAATCCATCAATTTTTGTTTGGGAAAGTCTTTATTTCTCCTTCATGTTTAGAGAATATTTTCCCTGGATATACTATTCTAGTGTAATTTCTTTTTTCCTTCAGTATCCTAAATATGCCATTGATGTGTGCTAAAATTTAAGAACTATTGTACTGTATCTTATATTCATTTATTTTATTATATTATAGTATATTTTATCACATATATGAACATGTGGTTTATTAATAGAATATTTATATACATTTACATAAAATGCCTTCTTCCTTAAGAGTGTAAATATCATAAAAGAGGGATTTTTAAATTACTTTGTTTACTGCTGCTCCCAAAGCATCTTGAACAGTGGCTGGCCTATTTTGTAGTGGCTGGCCTCTACAAATCTTAAAATGAATAAATGAATGTAGGATTTTACATCTCCATGTCCCTGCTCCTGTTATTCTTTCTGTCTGGAATGCACTTACCTGATTAACTCAACTGCTTTTCTATACCTAATTTAGGTAATGTCTTTATTCCTCTTGAAACCCCACACTTTCCTTTTGCAGCTCAGTCTTAGTTGGGACTTCACTATTTGCCTATGGAAAATTTTATGTCATATATAACAGAAAGCACAACACATATATTGAACTTACCTATTTTAATGCATCCTTTTTCCACTACAAAATTAATTTTTTTGGGGGGGCAAGTTTCTTTTTTATCCATGCCTACACCTTCCCACATACCAAATATAGAGTATGTCTTCAATCAGTATTTCTGAACTTACTGAATTGAAATTGAAAGATTGTTATCAAGGCAGTATGACAACTGAAGACCACTCAAATTAGCTTTAAGGAAAACATCTTGATTGTTGTCAGGACACACAGTGTCCAGGAAACTCAGGAGCAGGAAGCCAGGCTTCCGGAAGGTCCAGGGTCAAGACCGAGAATGCCTTTCTGAAACAAAGCAGCTTCTTCCCCACTATTGATCAGTCTGGGCTTGTATGTTCTTCACAGGCAAGAGTTCTATCTTTTCCATCTCAGTGGTGACACATGGGAAACCAAACATATGAGTTCCCATTTCAAGTGCACCACAGTGAGGACTGACTAGCATTACTGTATTTCCTTTTCAGTTTTGCAAATGAGAGAATCTGATTCATCTGCTTCAACTGGGGACTTGTCCCTGATAAAATAAACTATATGCTTAAAGTTTACTCTCTGAGAATGGATGAGGGAATGGCAGGACACCAAACACATCCTTTGCCTACACAGATACACACACACACACACACACACACATATACATATCTATACCCATATATATCATTGAATAAGTTGTACTTGATAAGATTCTACACAAGTGTTATTACTATTAGATTCACTATGTAATCACTTAAATATAAGAGAGTTTTCATAATTTTAGCATACATGTAAGCATTTTTCAATATTTGTTGAAGTTTTAAATCTTTACAAAACTTGCATATAGAGGAACATGCACTCTTGAAATTTTCTAGTAACCAAACAAGTCTAATTTGATGTATCTATGTCTTCAATATAACTGTAAAAAAAAAAAGTAGATTGTTTCATTTTCCTCTGCATCTAATAAAGGATATTTTAGGAAATCTGGTCCCAACAATGCTCTAATTCATGGAACAAACACTTGTTGATTGTTGATTATCTCTGTTGTGTTAAGCAAGGGACAGAGTATCTACCCTCAGATAAATTGCATCTTGTGTATGGGGAATAAAATAAAGAGAAAGTAACTATAACATGAGGTTGTTAAGACTCTACATATTGAAAAACAGTAGAAGATAGAACATTGGCCATACAATTCTGCTGTTTTGGGGATAAGAGAAAAAGTCCCACATCATCTGCCTATTTTGTCAACATTCTTATGTAGGAAAAATAACCTCCTAGTCCCAGTGTGTTCTGTAGGTAAGAAGAAAGAACCAGTGGCTACAGAGAATCTCCTCGCAGCATTTTGCATCCAAATGCTGTATGCAGCTCACCTTCCTGGTGTTGGTAGTAATGCTGACCATGATGAGTCTCTGTGCAATGAATGGCTGCCAGTAATGCTGACCATGATGAGTCTCTGTGCAATGAGTGGCTGCCTTAGACAATGAGGGCTGTTCTAAATTCTTCTAATACTAGCATCTACCAGAGAATCAGGTAAAAAGAAAGCAGGTCAGTAATTTTCTTTTTTTCTTCTCTGCTTGTACTCATGCATGTCTCCCTTTTAAGCAGGACAAAGTCAGAGATCAGGAGCAGATTTAGGAAGATGCTTTATTTTCTGGGCATCTACGGCAATATGCTCACAGTTTTCCTGGCACAAAGATTAGGATCACAAAAAATATTTCCATATATATCTGTGCTATTGAATTACTTTCCAGATCCACTGCCTTATTAAAATAATGAATACGTTTGAAAGATTAAATATTTGCTAACCTTCAGTTGGTTAGTTTGACCCTCCGTGATGTAATCTAAATAAATAATATTAAACATGCATATCTGGAACAGAGCATGTTTCTTGAATATTTTCATGTCCTATATTATCTAGATTCACTTGTCTTTAAGCTCCCTGAGACCAGGGACTATGTTGTAATTTATCTTTCATGCAACGCCTAGTCCAGTGCCTGGCATGCAATAGGTCCTCAGTGAATGTCATTTAAATGAAATCGTATGTTGTGTTATTGCAGTTATAGAATTGATTGCATAAAAGCTACCATCTCTACAAGATAAACAAGAGGAGGAGAATATAATATTGTGGTTCCCCTGAAATGGGCTTAAAGTCAGACATTTCCCTGCTTTTGTTTTTCAAAGAAGAGAATAAAATAAAATAATCATAGATTGTTCATTTACCTGTCAGTTCCTCTGACACTTCTCTGAGATCATTTAGGTCTAATGCAGTTCTTCCATTTCCTTTATAGATGCCGACGCTTTTAATAGAAAAAAAAAAAAAAAACTCTCTTGAAGTCTATTTGGAGTTTTCTGCTTTCTCTCAGACTCTTTGATGTATTTCAAGAAACACAGCACTTAAAAAGTGCATTGTGTCCTCATCCACATTTCTTCCCCCACCTGCCTTGTCAAATGAAAGAAAGAAAGAAAAAAAAAAAAAACGACAAGTGTGGGTCTGATATATTTAGTTCTTATTTCTCCCCTTTACATGCCTTTTCACAGCCTCTCTGATGTAGTCACTCGTCCATCTCACACATACTAGGACTCTGAAAATTGTTCTCACTCCAGCAAAACCCCTGATGAAACATGCTTCACAGCCTGCTGAACTCTCTTTGTGGCTGTGAATATACCTTGTTCACTCAATAATTTTCCAGCAGGAAACAGTGAAGCATGTGACCCGGGAGGGTGCAGGCCTAACACTGCTCCACACAAACAGCTTTTATTCATGTACCAACATGAAAACTAACACATTCACCCTTGGTGTAACATACTTTGGATGACAGTCAGATGTTGTGTGTGGGTAATAAGGCATTCTAAACATTTAAAAATAGAGTTTTCATTCTGAACCTAATATTAAACTCTTCTTATAAAAGAGTAAAATCAAGAAACAGTACTATATATCTACTCTAGGCATAATGTATAATCTTGAAATTTCTTGAATTGCAAATATGTCTGAGCATTCTTGACATACGTGTGGTCTTATATTTTCTTTCTTCCCTCTTCCAGTGTTACTATTGAGTTTTCTTCATTTATTACTACCTGCCACTTTATTGTTGTGTATAGTTTCACCGTCAGTAAGTTCTCTAACTATGCTGTCTTCAAAATGTCTCTTTTCACACTGAACATCACCGCACATACCACAAATTATTTCTCAACCTTTCCTTTGCTACCATTTCCTTTATATCCGAATTCCAAAATCTCTGCGTGGGATACATTATGTTTAACTTACTGGGCTATGTAGTCTAGGAGATATCAATGAAGGAATTTAAAAGATAAACACCATTTTTAAAGCTGTGTTAAGTATAAGGAAACTATTTTTTTTTTTTTAGTTTTTCTGCTTATGTAGCACCAAATAAATATTTGTTAGTATAACAAGGTGTGAAATTTTATTACTTAGTATTTTTCATATAGTATTACAGCTCAAGGTAGCATTAATATAAATCTGTTGGTCTAAGTGACTGAAAAATTAAGGATACTTTAGCCTCAAGCATTGCTGGATCCAGGGCTCGAGTGATACCTTTAGAACTCTTTTTCTTTCAATCTCTTACACAGACTCTCTTCTAATAAACGGAATGATGGTGGGCCATGACCTTCATCCTGACATTGTAATAGAATCTTAAAGCTTAAGCAGAAAACCCATGGTGGGACATTTCTTGGACCTGTGGGTGTAGCATATCTATCCATGAACTAATCTCTGTGCCAGGATGATAGGGTTGTGTGATCAGTCAAGCCCGGGTTATGTGCTCGTCAGTGTCGCTCCCAGTAGAAATATATGTGTTTTCTAAAGGAAAGAGAGGGTTGTGACCAGAGAAAAAAAAAGGCATCCTACACAGGCAACAGCAGCAGGTGCCCACAGCTGACAAATAATACTATGCCTCTTTTAAAGATGAGAAAACCAAGACACGAATTTGTATAACTAAACTAAGATTACACTGGCCTCAGATATCCTAGTAAGCAGTAAGATGAAAGAGGAAAGGTCTCAAAAAGCAGCTGAGATTTGAATAGGTACTTTCTCATACACATGTGCTTTCTCAGAGTCCAAAATCTGGTAGCATTTGTATTTCAGTGACTTGATCAATTTCTTCATTGCTTTTCCCAAAGATTCACCCCTGCTTATTTTACATTATGCTGTCGATGGAGGATACATGGAGAATAGTGAGGAACTGCACCTGTGTCTAACAAAGACTCTGAGGGGAAAAGTAATCATTAAGGACACCTAGGGTACACAAATGTTTAATTATGATAGTTTAGATCTTACGTTAATGTATTAATTTCTTTTAAAAAATCTAATGCAACCCATACTTCCGGAATGTAGAATCCTGGGATTTTTTTTAAAAAATGGGATAATGTTAACAGCAAAAAGCTTTCTTTTTATAGTTCTTTTTTCCCATATACTCCCCCCATCCTAATACATGTTATTGCATATTAAATTCTAATTATCAGAAGGAAGTAATGTTCATATTTTCAGGTACTCGTAGTCAACACTAGTGTGAGCCCCTCTCCTTCTCTCCTATCCTGGACTGTTTTGCTTGTACATGCATTTGATTTCACTGCTTAGGAATATTTGTGAAAACTCCTGCATTGACCCCTCACCTGTTGTTTGGCCTAACAGAGAAGACATGAGAGAGTCTGTCTGCCCAGATTCCAGAAAGAGCACGTTACTCTTCCCACGCTTTCTGTCTTATACACGCCCTGAGATTTATTCCCATTGTCTATGTCTTTTTGCTACCAAAATGAAGGGTATCAAGTTGCATAAATGTTACCAATCCCTTCGATAAAATCCCCTCTTACAAAATCAGCCAAAGCTTTTCCAAGTTTGCTGCCACCCTGATGGTGCTGGTGTTAATATTTTATGTGGATAGCCCTCAAAGTCATAATGACTTGACTGTAGAGAATTTATTTCCCCAACTGTTGGAATAATGTCTATGTTAGTTCTTGAATTCCCAAGGAAATAACTTTGTATTTAATATGTCTTTCAAATGTTACCCATAACAGTCTCCATTCCAAATCACATTTACTTCCCAATGACTTCTTTTCCTTGGAGACTGAGCCAGATATATTCTAAATTCTCAAGCATTTATCTTTCCGTCTAATATGAGTTATCTTCTCCAATCCATCCTTCTGTGTTGGCAGGCCTTCAGTTTTGAATACCACAGTAAGCATACCATATGCCAGAGCCAGGTCAGGTACTACTAGTAGTACTATATTGTTTCTTCTAAATTCAAATTGTAGCTGGGACTGAAACAACATAATGGGGTTTTACCCAGTTTCAGAATTTTGTGCACATAATATCCATTCATTCTCAGAATAGCCATGCAAGGAGATTCTTTAAACAACTCTTCAATTGCTTAAGGCTTTGTATATGTTTTAGCTTGTAGGTATTGTTTTAGTCTTCGAAAACAAGGAAAAGTAAAATACCGTTCATATTATTACTATATTGACTATATAATTGATACACAACAAAGTTCAAAAAGTTTACATGCCATTTCCTGAGGCTGTTTCAGGAGTTTTTTTTTCTTTGCCCCTTTCTTCACCTCCAGTTGCAAATAAAAAAACAGATGTTTGATTCTTTTTGACAAGTAAAAGAATGATTTATTTTTATCCCAAAATGTTGTATGCTTTCATGTAAGACTAGTCTTGCTAAATGAATGATATAGTCTAATGACAATGTTTTGCGTATTATATATGTACATAATATGTAATATATATATCTAGTATATAGCCGTATGGAGTCCAAATTCATTGTAGCTAAGGAAGTATAGAAAACTAAAAGGTTAGGAAAAGGAACTTAGAAATTAATAAGATACACTTACCACAGGCGATTTTAGGTCAGTTGATAAACTATTTAAAGGCTGAGACTACCTAGTAGTTATCAAAATCTACTACATACTACTACACACACTAATTCATAATATATGTTTTTGATGCAGTAATATAATACAATTTTATGATGAGTCCCATCTTATATTTCAAACAGATCTTTGAAAAAAAAGGAATATAGCAACTTGACAATATTCTATGGAAGCAATCACCTCGTGAAATATCATAATGCAATGTCATTGGTGTCACAGTGATAAAGATCCACTTTTATAAGGAAAGTGCTTGGTTTTGCCAATAAGTCTTGAGATATCTACATTAGGTACTTTCCCTTAAAACCACCTGCTCATAGTTTTAGACAGTAGAACATTTTTTTTTTAACCTTCATTGGTAACAGGAGAAAAGAGAGTTAGAAGCCTCGCCTGCAGCGCTAAGAGATCGTATAATTCTATCAACATATCATCATCAAAATCAGCATGAAATTGAAGAGCTAGAAACAATCATCGACTATTATTTATGAAGACAGCTTAGTGGATCAGTGCTATTTCTCAGCTGCTGCCCTGGAAATTATAGAAAAGAGTGGCAACCCTAACTGAAAATATAAATGATAGAGGAACTTTCCATGATAGTTAAAAAGGTTAATTTTATGTGTCAATTTTACTAAACTATAGTATCCAGTTTTGGGTCAAACATTGATCTAGATGTTGCTGTGAAGGTGTATATAATATTATATATATATATATATTTTTAGATGCGATTAACATTTAAATCATTAGACTGAGTAGATTATCTTGGAATAGAACCCTTCAATCAGTTGAAGATCTTAAGAGAAAAGACAAAAGCCCCTTGAGGAAAAAGAAATTCTGTCTCCAGACTGCCTTCAGACTGAACAGTGCAACATCAACTGTTCCCTGGAACTCCAGCCTGCTGGCCTGCCCTGCAGATTTTAGACTAGCCAGTCACCACAATTGTGTGAGGCAATTCCTTCAAATAAATCTCTCTCTCTCTCTCTCTGTATTTATATATATGTATACATATATAATGTATATATAATACATAAAGTCATATATAATCAATATAAGTAATGTAAATATAAACGGGTAAGTTATTTTATAAATGTGTACATATTATATATACACACACATCCTATTTGTTTTCCAGAGAACCCTAATACCAATACAATAGTTCTTAGTTTTGAACTATCTGTTGAACAAATAACAAAAAGTTGTGGATTTGCTGTGTTTATATTCTAATATATCCAATAACACTGGATTTATACCTTTCAAATATATTTTCGGTATCTTTGTGTAGTAAAATATAAGTAACTTTAGTTTCTTATACAAGCTATAATAGTATGTACCATTCAATTTCTTCTTTAGAAAATGCGTGTTTTCTTTTTCACCTAGGTGTGGTAGATGCACACTAAGATGAACCCTAGTAATTCATGCTCTTGTATAATCTCTTTCCCAGTAACCTATGGCTTACTTCCAGTGAATAGAATATGGCAAACTTGATAGGATGCCATTCCATTGATGATTACCTTATATGGTAGAAGTGATATGCTAGTCACAACCATGAGTATATGTCCTTGCATGACTTTGTCTTAGCAGACAATAGGCAGAAATTCTCATATGTGTCTCAAAGAAGTAAGCTGTGATGTGATGAAAAGGCTTGTGAGATGGCCACATGGCATGAAACTAAGAGTGGCCTCTTGGAGCTAAGAGCAGAACCCAAATAATAACAACTAGCAAGAGAATGGGACACTAGTCCTACAATAACAC